ATTTTTCGCTGATGGTTTTCACTTGTTATTCGTTGACATATAGGTTAATTGGCAAAAAGGATCCTGTGGCTCCCCAGGATGAGAAAAAGTACACTGTCTTCTTCTCCTGTCTGATGGAACTGTTCGCGGTATGCCCTAATTGTACTGAACCTGGCACAGCTGAAGTAACTGAAGTAATAGGCACTCAGATCTATGTGACTCAGAAGTGTCCCACCTGCAAATTTGTTTGTCCGTGGAAAAGTCAACCCAATAATCGAAGAATTCCCGCAGGAAATCTTTTACTTTCAGCTGCCATTCTTTATTGGGCAGTATGATATCACAGACCCTGCGAATATTTAAGATCCTTAAGGTGGAGTGCTTTAGTTGGCAGACGTTTCACACACACCAGAACAATTATCGTATCCCCGTTATTATAAAATTGTGGACGGAGGAGCAAGACAGTTATACAGAATATGTCTGCTTTACCAGGGGGAGTTGTTCTTTTGGGGGATGGGAGGTCTGACAGTCCAGGTCACTGCGCCAAATATGGAGCCTTTACAGTTATTGAGAAAAGAGTAAACAAAGTCTTAGATGTGCAACTTGTTCAAGTACGAACATGGCATTTTAATAATTTATCTTTATTTCCTTTTTTGTTCAGTTATGTGTAAAGTGCTTTTGTCTGTGCCTACTAGTCTAATGAGGTGCGGATCAGTTCTTGGTGTGAACACGGGGGTCTTCTTAATATGGAACGATTTCTGGCTACCAAAGGGCTTCTACTCGATGTCATCATTACTGACAGAAATCGTCAAAATGCCGCTTTTACATTTGCAACAAAATAAAGCCAAAAGGAACTACGCATTACTACGACATCTGGCAAGTAAAGCGTTTATACAACTAAGCACTCGACCTGCCCAACTCAATAGTGAATTATAATATCTTTATTGTGTTGACGGGTGTAAAAGTATTTTGTTTTTAGGTATTGGCAAGAAAATTGACGCTTTGGCAAAACAAAAAGATTGCGAAGATGCAGGCTTGTAGAGGAAGTTGATCGTCAACCACCTCTACTGGATAGCCACTGCACCCAAGGGAAATGAGGACATGATAGAGGCTATGTGGAAGTCAGTTTGCAACCACATACAAGATATCTACGAGGAGCACAGTGATCTCTACCTGGCATGTGCCCATGGCCCTTTGGACAACGAAGAGAGGGACAAAGAGTGGCTGCAACCTTGTAGGAAATTTTGGATTTTTTGTTCCACAAATAAATCCTTGCCATTAATATCTTATTTCTTTGTTTCCTATTTAATTTGCAGCATCAAAGGTTTGTGAAAAGCTGACCGACATCCTTTCAAGCAAGTCTCTACTGAAAGACATCAAGATGTTATCGCTTTGCTATCAAACCTCCTCTCTAGAAGCCCTGCAAAGTTTGGATATCATATTTGCTCCCAAGCACACGGCATTTGCATTCTTGGCTATGCTTGCCAGGTAACATGACCTTTGTTTTTATGCTCCTAACTCTTCTTGACTCTTATAGACATTTCTGTTCGCGAGTATAGTGTTTTTATTCAGTATATGGTTTTCTTTTATTTAGACTACTTTTGGCTGCGCTTCATTATAATGAAAACAGTGACAGACTGCAAGCTGTAACTAAGGAAGGAAAGCCCTGTTACTCCATCTGCTTTCCCAAGCATAAAAAAGGGGAATACTCTGTTCGCAAGGAGAAGACTGCTGCCACATGTGGTAACTATTACGATGTGAAGTGCATGCAGTCCAAAGTGCAAGGGAAAAAAAACATACACCCTTTTTTTTTGGCAGGTTACACCAAGACTCTACTTAATTTTCTAGTGCGAGAGTATGAAGAGGATCAAACTTCTTTAAAAAATTCTATCCAGGATCTCAGGTAAAACATGCCTCCACCACTCAAAGCTTCCTTTGAGAAACCCTGCAAACAAACAGCAGTTGAACAGGTGGTCACGCGATTTGCACAGTAAGAGTAAGAGGATATGAAATACAGAGGCATTTTGTTTAAATGGCTAAATTTTACATCAGCAGGAGGAAACAAAGCAGGACGCAAACTGTCAGAGGTCTTCATGACGCGTGCCCTGTGTTTCACCGCATGACAGTACTCACGCAATATGCCATGAGCATGAGTGCTAGAAAGGCTGTGATTTGTGCAAGTCATATATGCCTAAGAATTAACTGTAAGTAGTAACTAGCAAAAGGCATAATTTAATGCAAATGAATTATAAACTACCTTTTTCTATTTTATTGCAGGTTTGGTGGCTTTAAACCAGTGTAGGAGGTGCCAAAATCTGCAGGAAATATTCGGCGTGTTTCGTTTACCGCACAGGAAGGCAGCGCACTCTTACTTTTCTGCCAAGATTGGCGATAAGCGATGTAGCAAAATTTTCTAGACATGAACGAGAGAAAAAATGTTACAAATACGCCGTAATATATAACTGGTCATAATTGTTTTATGTATAAAGTGAAAATTTCAGAACTAGTAAACATACTATGTTGTTGCCTATATGCATAATACGCCGTTTTAAGGACCCACACATCCAAGCAAGTAGACTTAAATCCTGGATGTTCTGTAATACAGGACATTTGGACCTCCATTTGCTCTTCAATTTTTTGCCATATTTGCACTATTTCATGACAACATACGCTTTCGGGTACTAAAAGCATCAGCTGACACATTCCACACACACCTAAATTACAATAACAAAAAGGACCCCTTTCATAATGGCTCGAGTTCATCCTAGCCTCGTGATAAAATTACTCCAAAATAAAGGCAAAAGGTATAAGCAATACAATTTAAGTCACACAAAAAAAATTACCAGTCTGTGTTGCCAAGACGATCCGTCTCACTTCTGCTTTCGTCCTCACGGCTTTGTTGTTATTGTTGTCCATCATCTCATTGAACTCTGCGAGGCTCGTAATGATAGGGACGCGGACCTGTGTCTTCAGAAGGCTCTGAAGTTTCGGCTACATCGCTGTAATATAAATTTACGTCGTAAAAATCACTTTCATTGAATGAATTCTGCTCTCAACTATTCGAAGTATCACTTATCGCTCGAGCCACCATAGTGATAATGAAGTAACACAATAGACTGGTTCCAATCGTTATGCCACAGGTAATTTCATATTGTTAACCAGAAGTTAATCTTCCGTAGAAAATGCCGTGTTTTCGCCTTAGGAGCATCGAATTGGCAAAAAAATGATAGCAAAATCGTTTTTAGAATACTTTTTTACATATAAGGGGATAAACTTGTATTTTTGGGTTTACATGCCCTTTAATCCTGGCTGCAGCAATGGAATACATATCTGTATTCAATGACAGACCTTCTGAGCAGACGATTTAAATTTTAAATTGCCATCAGTCTTTGTTCCTGTATTTTTTAAGTGAGCTCACTAGTACTAAATAACATTGTGCCAAAGCTATTTTTGAGTTTGGTATTTATTTCTTTGTTAAATGAGTATTTACCACTTAGTTTATGAATGGGCAAGGGTCAATTCCAAAACACAACACGTTCACGATCAGCAAATATTTTTACTATTACCGAACCATAAGAGTAAGTTCCTACAAAGAGCGAAAAAATAGCAGTTACAATACAGAAAAACTACTTTAAGGTGACTGCAAAATGAAATTAATGAAAAACGATGAAAACGAAGCTGCTTACCAAATGCCGAGGATGACAGGGTTGGTGGTCAGGGCCACCGAGGAAAAAAATCTACTTCCACTAATGCCGTTACACAAATAGACACGTAAACTGGTAAAAAAAAAAGGGCGAGATAACAAACTATAATGAAATTTACATACAGAACGTAACAAAGGAGCGTAATTAACGAAATACCGGAGAGCGAAAAGAAAAAGAATACATGATAACAAGTAAGTGAGAAAACGAAAAACAAAGGGAAAAAATTTACCCAGACAGTTTATGCTACACATTTATATTTACAAAAGTCTGACATATTTGTCGCTTTTTCTCCCAGAGCTGCATGTAGTCTACCCTCAGTGAACTACTGTTGTGGTCATTGAACTAATGGCGTGGTTATTGAACTGTTGTGTGGCCACTGTACTGATTGTCGTTTTTGATCTACACATACAAAACAAAACAAAAAACAAAAACTGAACTGCTGCCTCATTCATCGACAGCAGACCCAACAACTTGGGAAACCTTAAAGAGCACTGAATCCCTCAGAAACTGCAGAAATAATTTACGTGACTCCAAACTGGTGAAATAAACAAATTTCAGTCCAAAAAAGCAGCAGTTAAAACAACTTATGGCGGGGCTCAACAACCTAAAGTCAATTGTATTCTGCAACACAATGAATGAAATTGCCATTGCTGGGTACTATTTGATATCTCAGCTGGGAAAGAAAATGTGTTTTTGACTTTTCTGCTGTAAACGACAATTGTTTGATTGGAGTATGTCATTCCAATTCCTCGTAGAGTAGCAAAGACAGAGAAGACAGAGTGATGGACTCAGTTTGAGTCTTGTGGTGTAGATCATGTAACTATTGGAACTGCAGCACTCTGCATGGGTGTCAACTTCCCACACATTTTTATTCGAGGAAAAGAATGACTATGAGTATAGGATTTGATTTTGGGCCCTCATCAGCCTCATCAATCGAAATTGATAAGTTCATTATGTTTTTCACTATTCGTCTGTTCTTGTTGTTTTTTATCATCTGGTGGGTTCTCCCCTTTGTTCAATGTGAAAAGAAACAAAAGAAAAAGCGATATATGTATATTCACACAGTAGTTGACAACAAGTGCGAGACTTTGTTACTTCTTGCTAAGGGAACATTTCATGGGCCTGTAGCTGAACAGACAAGATCAAAGAAAAATACCGTGGTCCAGTTTTGGAGAAGAAGAGAACTCTTTACCTTGGAAATGAAGAAAATACACTATATATCAACAGAAAGAAGGCCATTAACAAGTCGGAGGGCCTCAGGATTTGTTGCAAAAACATTTTAAGAAAACAAATTGCCAGTTAGATAAAGATAAAACAACAATCAGACGATAGCTATGAAGGACTCAGCAACTAAAAGATGTGACAAGTAACGTCAAGTTGCATAAAGTAGACTAAAAGCAGAACTTAAAGCAGAGTCAACAAAGTCTTTTTCCGATTCTACTTTCTCCATTTTAAATGAAAGAAAATCCAACTTGATTTGTTGAATAACTAATTATTTCCCCCCACAATCAGTCAATCAATCAAAACGTTTAAATCTTCCCTTAAATGGTCTGTCCCGTAATAGCAGACGTGTTTAAGAGGTTTATAACATCAATTTTTCTTCCCTTGTACTCAGTGTTTCTTAGAGCTCGTGCTAATCTCATACAGAGTCAGCGGAGAACGCTAAGATCACAGTGCATAAGGTGAAT